AACAGTAGCAGGTGGTAACGAGTGGGTGGTGGTGGTGGTGGCGAGGCGATGATGGTAGGTGGGTGGCGGATGGTGGTGGGTGGTAGCAGGTAGGTGACGGGTGGTGTGGTGGTGGGTGAGGTGGTGACGGTGGTAGGTGGTAAGTGGTAGCGAGTGGGTGGTGGGTGGTGGTGGCAGGTGGGTGGTGGGTGGTGGTGGAGGTAGGTGGTGGGTGATGGTGGTAGTGGTGGTGGGTGGCGGTGGGTGGCTGGTGGTGGATGTGGTGGTAGGTGGGTGCTGAGTGGTGGTATCAAGTAGGTGGTGGATGGTAGTGGCAGGTGGTGGATAGTGGCGGGTAGATGGCAGGTGGGTGGTGGGTAGTGGTGGTGGTGGTGGTGGTGGCGAGTGGGTGGCAGGTAGGTGGTTGGTGGGTGGTGAGTGGTGGTGGTGGGGAGTGAGGGTGGGTGTGGCGGCGGCGAAAGACGTGGTGGAAAATGGTGGGTGGTGGCTTGTGTTGGGTGGTAAAAAAAAAAAAAAACTGAAAACTCAAACGGAAAACACATTTTTTGTGTTTTCATTTTTTGGCCAAATTTATAAACTGAGACCACCGATTTATAAATCAAAATTTTACCAAACAAGTTTTTATTTGAGTTTTTTAAAATTTTTGTAAATATAAATAGAAAACTGAAAACGTAAGTGTTACCAAATGCACCTATACGTTTGTTTATTTTAATTTACTAAGCGTGTGATAGTAAGGGCAAATCAAATTTTCGAGCCATTCGGGGTAGCTCGTTTTGAGCTACCCAGTAGTTCTTGTTCCTATATTTTGGTTATTGTGTCATTTTAATTTATGTAATTTTAATTTGTCCAATTTTGACCATGAATTTATGATTTTGTTTCAATTTGGTCCAATTGATAACAATTCTTAGTAATTTTTTTTAAATAAAAAATACACATATAAGTGTCATGTGTTATATTTTCAAGGGTAAAATTATAAACTTACGCAACTCAGTTAGTTAATCTCAATCAATTTAGTAATAATTTTTCTTAAAAAACACTAACATATTTTCAATTGGATCAAATTGAAATAAAATCTAAAATTAAGGGTTAAAATTGAGTCAATTGAAATGTAGGGATTAAATAACATGAGGGATAAAATAAAGAGGGACTACTGGTGTAATTTATCCAATAATTAGTATTGATTTTGATTTGGCCTTTCTCTAATTATAGTTTAATTCGTCCATAAATCACTGTGCAAGCAAGTTTAACTCGTTATCTTAAGATTTCTTAAATTGCTGAACAATTAATAAAAGTGTATAAAGTGGCATAGGATAATGCATTTTGCAAATTATTATCTTTCCACTCTCTCCTTACCAAAACATTACTATTAACACTTAAATTAAAAAGTCAAGAACATTATTGAACGAAGTTTTATTTTCGCTGTGTTGGTTTTTTCCTCATTTGAAAGCTATGGAGTTAAAAAAAAAAAAAAAAGGTTATGGAGTGCGCGAGTAAGTTTTGAAAAGGGAATTCCTCGCTTCTTTTCTTTATTTAAAATCGTACATGAGATTTTCATCTTACACGGTTTTAATTTATTTTCTTTAATATTTCAATAAAGATTGAATAATCATTACAAATTAATTTCAAGTCAAACAATAACTAAGATGATTAAGTAAGTGTTTTTTATGCCTCAATGAATAGAACTTAAGCAATAAGTATCAATTAATGAACTAACTCAAGGAGAAGTATTAAATATAAGTATGTATATGAAACATAAGAAGGAAAGAAAAGGAGAAGAAAAAAGGAGAAAGAGACTGAATGAACAATGCAATTACTAATTTGAACAATACATTATCTCAAGGCTATGGTAAAGGAGCTACAAGAAATGGTAAGGAAAGCACAAGAAGTTGAATTTACTTTAAATTTGAAACCATTTAGCATCCGTTGAGAAGTTTAACTACTAACTGTGATGAAAAAGATTTGGAAATACCCTCTCTGATCAGACTAGGCCTTCTTGATCCTTGAGACACTACTTGAAATAGAAACAAACGCTTTGTTTTGTTTTTTTTTTTTTTTTTTTTTTTTTTTTTTTTTAATGATTTGAAAAACCAGGGATGGTGTGTGAATCGGATAAGGAAGTGCTTATCCAGGGGGTCCTATTGTGCTGGGGTTCTGCATATTTGTGGGCATTGGATCTTCTGTATTGCAGATAATCCGGACAGCAACAAGTGGAGGCATGGCTTGAATGACCGAAATAATCAGGGAATGCTGGGTGTGGATGTTTCCTGTGAAGGAATGACCGAAATAAAATATGAAGAAGGTGTGGAAAGGAAGAGAGAGAGAGAGTGGGGTGAGTAAAAAAAAAAAAAACCCCAAAACTCAAAACGGAAACACATTTTTTGTGTTTTCATTTTTTGGCCAAATTTATAAACTGAGACCACCGATTTATAAATCAAAAATTTTACCAAACAAGTTTTTATTTGAGTTTTTAAAATTTTTGTAAATATAAATAGAAAACTGAAAACGTAAGTGTTACCAAATGGCACCTATACGTTTGTTTATTTTAATTTACTAAGCGTGTGATAGTAAGGGCAAATCAAATTTTCGAGCCATTCGGGGTAGCTCGTTTTGAGCTACCCAGTAGTTCTTGTTCCTATATTTTGGTTATTGTGTCATTTTAATTTATGTAATTTTAATTTGTCCAATTTTGACCATGAATTTATGATTTTGTTTCAATTTGGTCCAATTGATAACAATTCTTAGTAATTTTTTTTTAAATAAAAAATACACATATAAGTGTCATGTGTTATATTTTCAAGGGTAAAATTATAAACTTACGCAACTCAGTTAGTTAATCTCAATCAATTTAGTAATAATTTTTCTTAAAAAACACTAATCATATTTTCAATTGGATCAAATTGAAATAAAATCTAAAATTAAGGGTTAAAATTGAGTCAATTGAAAATGTAGGGATTAAAATAACATGAGGGATAAAATATAGAGGGACTACTGGTGTAATTTATCCAATAATTAGTATTGATTTTGATTTGGCCTTTCTCTAATTATAGTTTAATTCGTCCATAATCACTGTGCAAGCAAGTTTAACTCGTTATCTTAAGATTTCTTAAATTGCTGAACAATTAATAAAAGTGTATAAAGTGGCATAGGATAATGCATTTTGCAAATTATTATCTTTCCACTCTCTCCCTTACCAAAACATTACTATTAACACTTACAAATTCAAAAGTCAAGAACATTATTGAACGAAGTTTTATTTTCGCTGTG